GCCTATGAAAGACCATAACCTATTAAAAAATAAAAAATCCACGCCTATGAAAGGACCTTAACCTTTTAAAAAATCCACGCCTATGAAAGGACCTTAACCTTTTAAAAAATCCACGCCTATGAAAGGACCTTAACCTTTTAAAAAATCCACGCCTATGAAAGGACCTTAACCTTTTAAAAAATCCACGCCTATGAAAGGACCTTAACCTTTTAAAAAATCCACGCCTATGAAAGGACCTTAACCTTTTTAAAAAACCACGCCTATGGAAAGACCCTAACCTCTTAAAAATCCACGCCTATGAAAGGACCTTAACCTTTTAAAAAAATCCACGCCTATGAAAGGACCTTAACCTTTTAAAAAATCCACGCCTATGAAAGGACCCTAACCTCTTAAAAAATCCTATGGACCTTAAAAAATCCACGCCTATGAAAGGACCTTAACCTTTTAAAAAATCCACGCCTATAAAGGACCTTAACCTTTTAAAAAATCCACGCCTATGAAAGGACCTTAACCTTTTAAAAAATCCACGCCTATGAAAGGACTTTAACCTTTTAAAAAATCCAAGCCTATGAAAGGACCTTATCCTTTTAAAAAATCCACGCCTATGAAAGGACCTTAACCTTTTAAAAAATCCACGCCTATGAAAGGACCTTAACCTTTTAAAAAATCCACGCCTATGAAAGGACCGTTAACGGACCATAAAGATATTAAAAATATCCACATCTAGGGAATGAACTAAAAAATATATATTTTTTAAAAATCAACGCCTATGGATAGCCTTAAATTTTTTAAGTCCACACCTATGAATGGTCTTCGATTTTTTAAAATGCCACACCTATGAATGACCTGCAGAAAAATTCATAGAACTATTAAGAGGCCTATACATGCACTGAATTGTTTGGTCAATGTTCAACTCTTAAAATATTCATTCTATACGAAACGTTTATTACGGTCCTTTTGTCTGATCAACTCAAAGTCCATGTCCTTAAGTTTCTCCATACAGACCCTCGGCTTTGGCTAGTCCTATAAAAACCCCAACTTGTTTAATAAAAAAGCTGCCTTCAGTTCGTCTTCAGCTGGTCAATACAAGTTTCCTTCAGCTCGTCTAAAAAGACTCCCTTCAGTTCGTCTACAAAAGACTCCCTTCAGTTCGTCTACAAAAGACTCCCTGCATCAGCTCGTCTACAAGAGACTCCCTGCTTCAGTTCGTCTACAAAAGACTCCCTGCTTCAGCTCGTCTACAAAAGACTCCCAGCTTCTGCTCGTCTATAAAGACTCCCTGCTTCAGCTTGTCTATAAAGACTCCCTGCTTCAGCTCGTCTATAAAGACTCACTGTTTCAGCTCGTCTATAAAGACTCCCTGCTTCAGCTCGTCTATAAAGACTCCCTGCTTCAGCTCGTCTACAAAAGACTCCCTGCTTCAGCTCGTCTACAAAAGACTCCCAGCTTCTGCTCGTCTACAAAAGACTCCCTGCTTCAGCTCGTCTACAAGAGACTCCCTGCTTCAGTTCGTCTAAGACTCCTTGCTTCAGCTCGTCTATAAAGACTCCCTGCTTCAGCTCGTCTATAAAGACTCCCTGCTTCAGCTCGTCTATAAAGACTCCCTGCTTCAGCTCGTCTATAAAGACTCCCTGCTTCAGCTCGTCTATAAAGACTTCCTGCTTCAGCTCGTCTATAAAGACTCCCTGCTTCAGCTCGTCTATAAAGACTCCCTGCTTCAGCTCGTCTATAAAGACTCCCTGCTTCAGCTTGTCTATAAAGACTCCCTGCTTCAGCTCGTCTATAAAGACTCACTGTTTCAGCTCGTCTATAACGACTCCCTGCATCAGCTCGTCTATAACGACTCCCTGCTTCAGCTCGTCTATAAAGACTCCCAGCTTCTGCTCGTCTATAAAGACTCCCTGCTTCAGCTTGTCTATAAAGACTCCCTGCTTCAGCTCGTCTATAAAGACTCACTGTTTCAGCTCGCCTATAAAGACTCCCTGCTTCAGCTCGTCTATAAAAACTCACTTCAGTTTATTTACAAAGGATTATAAAAAAAATATGGAATATTTTTTTAGAGTCTAGTCCGTGTGATTTTCAATGAATTGATATCAGAAATCATTAGTTTATTGCTTGGGCTTTGTAGTCGGAAGCATAAAATAAATTATTTTCTTTTTGTTTGTTATAATTTTTAATATTTAATAATTTAAAATAACTATTTATTTAATTATGAGGCGTTTTCGTTTGAAAAAAAAAAACACAAATGCATTTGCTTTAGTTTGACTTGGCTTGAGTTGTTGTTTGTTTTTGTTTTCATTGATCTTATTTGTTAAGCATAAAATTTGTTGTTCTCTATATGGCATAAAAACGTATAACCTAAAAACATATTCAGCAGCAGTTTTGCAGTGTTTAAAATTAAATTCATGTCATATTTGTTATTAAGTGATTTCTTATTTGTTTGTTTGTTATTTTTATATTTATTTATTGGTTTTCATCTTTAGTGAACGGCTTCGAATCACAATCAAAAGTTTTGATCTTATTAAAATAAAAAAATTAAGAGAACATAAATATTAAACATATACAAGAGATTTAATTTTTGTAATTACATTTCCTTTTTTGTTTTGGTTTTATATTAAAATAAAACAATGATTAATGTAATTTTAATTCTTAAATTATAATTTAATATTAGTAAAATATTGTTTATCGTTTTCTTTTTTTCTTAAAAATAATAGTGATGTATTGTATTGCAGTGCTTGTGATGTGAAAAATCATTCTTTTTTTAATATTAAAAATAATAAAACATTATCATAATATTTATATATTTCATTTGTACATTTATAAATTAAAACAATAAAAAAATATCTTATAAAAACTATAATCTCAGTGCATAAAAAATTGTAAAAAAATAGTAAAATATAAAACAATGTGAGGACATCATTACATACACAACTATACAAACAAATTGATTACAAATGTGCATAAATTATATAGGGTACAAAAAGTTATATAAAAATGGTATTTTATATTATTATATACCATAATTATTAAATTCAATGTCCGAAAATATCATCCTTGGAAGGGAAAATTTAACATTACCACTAATTTAATTGATAAAGTTATCTGGATCGTTTTTTGGTCGTCAGTGCAGACTTCCTTACAGGAGTCCTATATATATTGAATTCTGATTGCCTATATAGCTTTATTTTAGCTCGCCTATATAGAATCCATTAAGGCAGTCGGGTGGCACTTAAGGTAGTCCATAAATTCCTGGGCTCCGTCTGTAAAGATTTTCTGATTTGCAAGTCGTCTATGGAGGCTCCAGGGCTTTAAGTTCTTCTACAATGACTGCCAGACATTAAACGTAACAAAAATAATGGCTTCCTGAACTCTATAACTATATCTGTTGGTCTATAAAGTCCCAGTCAGATCGTTCACAAAGACTCCCAGGTCTTCAGCTCGTCTATAAAGATCCCCTTCAGTTTATCTATAAAGACTCCCTGGCCTCCAGTCCATCTATAAAAACATCTCGACCTTCAACTGAACTATAACGACTCGTCTATAAAGATCCCCTTCAGTTTATCTATAAAGACTCCCTGGCCTCCAGTCCATCTATAAAAACATCTCGACCTTCAACTGAACTATAACGACTCATTGACCTTCAGCTGGCCTGTGTAGACTCCCTCGCCTTCAACTGGTTTAAAACGACTCAGCTCGTCTATATAGATTCCCTGATCGCCAGTTGACCTCCTTCGGCTTGTATTACGTTATTGTGCAAAGGCATACAGACCCTCAGCTGCTCTAAAGGGGCCTTTGTATAACCTGACCTTCAGCTCGTCTACAAAGACTCGATTCAGCTCGCCAATAAAGACTCGCTTCAGCACGCCTATAAAGACTCGCTTCAGCTGGCCAATAAAGACTCCCTTCAGCTCGCCAATAAAGACTCGCTTCAGCTCGCCAATAAAGACTCGCTTCAGCTCGTTTATAAAGACTAGCTTCAGACTCGCTACTCTCAGCCGAGGACCGCCGGCAGTCATTCATAAAGACCCCTTTGCGATCAAAAATCTCTATCTTCCCAGATAACCCTAAATCTAAATCGGACAATGGGATACAGTTTTGAAACAATCAAAATTTTATTGCCTCTTAAAAAAAATAAAAAAAAATTGGTACATAGTGATGTTGTATATAACGACTAGATGTAAATATATATTTAAAAAAATAGGAGTAAAACAATAATAAAAAAATTTAGTGAGAGAGATTTTCAATATCATTGATGAAAATGTTAGAATGAAAGAGAGCAATTATCTTGTTTTTGTTGGATAATGTCATAAAATATTACAACAAATTGCAATATATATAATTGATAAACTTTTGATGTTGTTATGATGATAATGATATTCCGAAATACACTATAATGTATTTGTTGTTGTTGTTCATGTTTCCATGTATAAAGTTATTATGATTTCTGTATATATGTATATCTTCTTTGTTTTTGTTTTGTTTCGGTATGCATGTAAATGGAAATATATATTCTATATAAAGATGTATATTTTTTATATATATGAATATATATATTATATTTATATAACTATGTATCTATATATGGTAGAGAGAGGGGGAGAGTTAGAGTTTTATTTTGTTTAAAGTTAGTTTGTTTTTTTTTTTTTTTTTTGTTTTTAGAATTGTTCGGTAATGACTGTTCAAGTGCATCCTTTTCGAAAAGAGAACACTCGTTTATTTTCGCTTTACATTATTCTTAAGTGGGATTTTTTTCTTTGATCATTTTAATTTCATAGCAAACACATAAAAAGTGTTTTGGTTTTTGTTTTTTTGTTTATCTAATAAAAAGTAATAAAAAAGCAATTTACCATTAATTAACATTATTTTTTTTTCTTTTCTTTTTGGTTGATGATGACGACGACAATGGTTTGATTTTCACATGACGACGACGACGATACTTAGTAATATTCTTCGTAATCGTAGTAGTAATAATAATAATGCGGTCGGTACAACTATATTTTCTAAACTGTTGTACCGTATGGATTAAAGACAGCTCTTGAACTGTCCGTGTCTAAGGAGATATCCTCTGGACTGGCTAAATCTACGCGTACATTTGAATTTGTACGTCTACGGGCAGTTTGTGCTGCACCCCAATTACTTAGGGTCCAATGAAAACCAGAGCTGGGCGGTTGTTCTTCGGCAACTTTGACTTGGGTGCAAACCTGTGGATCAAACAGAAATGAAATTAATTTCGGAATATTCCATTTTAAAATGAAAATTTACCTCTCGATTTACACATGGCAATGTTTCGGTGCCATTACCAATACCCGAACCGGAACCGGTGGCTGAAGCTGATTCTCTTGTACTTCCTATACTACTGCTGGATGCCAGCGAATCATTACTGGATTCTGTTACGGCTCCACGATAATGAGCCACAGATTGAGCTACAGCCTGAAAAAATAATGGAGAGAAGAAAAACGATAAAAGTTTTTTTCTTTTTAGACTGAGGGGATTATTTATAGACGAGCTGAAGGGAGTCTTTAAAGATGAGCTGAAGGGAGTCTTTAAAGATGAGCTGAAGGGAGTCTTTAAAGATGAGCTGAAGGGGGTCTTTAACACTAGATTGCCGAGAGCAGTCATTTTGACGGTTTTTAAATTTCAAGTACAAAAACAATTGTGTATATTATGACTCAGCTTCTTAAAATTTGGTGACTTTTTCTACCACATAGAACTACGTTTATTAATCATAGTAGCTGCTTCCTCCCCTCTTTCATTCCCCGTATTCACATGTGCTATAACTAAATAGCCTAAAAGCGGTCATTTTGACCTTTTTGAAATATTAAATAATCAAACTACTTTTATTACTGTATAAAGTAAATTTCTTATATGACCAGATCGGTACAACAACATCGAAACCCGTTTGCTACTCTAGAAACACATACGAACACACAAATTGGGAAAAATTAATTTTATATTTCCAGTCGATTTCACTCTTAGAGTAAAGTCTTCCTCTTTTTTCGAACGTTTTGTCCGCGCTCTTATTTTTCAAAAGGGGAAACCCGAGAGCCCTACCACCGAAAACAAATAATAACAACGTTTTGTATGATTGTAAATAATGTAACAAATATTAAAAAAATAGTTTAAAAAAATTTCTTTACACAATAAAAAATTTTTTAGAATGAAGTCATTTTGACCGATTTTAGGCAATATAGGTATATACAAAATTCCCGTCTTTCTAGTGTTAAAGACGAGCTGAAGGGAGTCTTTAAAGATGAGCTGAAGGGAGTCTTTAAAGATGAGCTGAAGGGGGTCTTTAAAGACGAGCTGAAGGGAGTCTTTATAGACGAACTGAAGGGAGTCTTTATAGACGAGCTGAAGGGAGTCTTTATAGACGAACTGAAGGGAGTCTTTATAGACGAACTGAAGGGAGTCTTTATAGACGAACTGAAGGGAGTCTTTATAGACGAACTGAAGGGAGTCTTTATAGACGAACTGAAGGGAGTCTTTATAGACGAACTGAAGGGAGTCTTTATAGACGAACTGAAGGGAGTCTTTATAGACGAACTGAAGGGAGTCTTTATAGACGAACTGAAGGGAGTCTTTATAGACGAACTGAAGGGAGTCTTTATAGACGAACTGAAGGGAGTCTTTATAGACGAACTGAAGGGAGTCTTTATAGACGAACTAAAGGGAGTCTTTATAGACGAGCTGAAGGGTATTTTTATAGACGAGCTGAAGGGAGTCTTTATAGACGAGCTGAAGGGAGTCTTTATAGACGAGCTGAAGGTAGTCTTTATAGACGAGCTGAAGGGAGTCTTTATAGACGAGCTGAAGAGAGTCTTTATAGACGAGCTGAAGGTAGTCTTTATAGACGAGCTGAAGGTAGTCTTTATAGACGAGCTGAAGGGAGTCTTTATAGACGAGCTGGAGGAGCCTTTTCAACGTATTATTCGATTTAAAATGAATTCTTCGGTATTGAGAGGACATTAGGATGCTTTCCATGCTCTCTTTTCCTCTAGAAGTATTTCATCCATTGAAGGTCTTAAAAAATATTCAATCATGACGAGATTTGTATTGTACATCAACTTACCATTGCGTCACCACCCTGACAATCTTCTATTGATTTTAAAATCTCCCACACCAATTCCGAATCCAATGGTATGGGATGTTCAGCATCACGATTGTAAATATTAATCGCTATATGTACAGGATGCGGCACTGGCAGAGGTATTAGAAGTTTTTCGGTAACGCTCTTCTCATCCGTTTTCTTTTTCCATGGGCGCCATGGCTTTTTGGTTTCTGGTGTTTTTGTTTGTTGAGCTGCACGATGGGCACGTACGCGAGGTGTGGTCAAACCAACAGACATGTCCCTGAAAAAACAAAATACAAATTAATTTTCAGTTTATTTCAAATAAAAATCTCTTACCTCTTATCAGGCTTCCGGAAATTCAAGGTTATTCTTGATCTGGGATTAAATGCCGTCACCTCCAGAAATGGTAAATGTACCTGAACATTACCACGAGGAGCATAGACATTACCCAGCAAATCTAAACCCTTGGAACCAATAACATCGGTAGCATTCTGTACCATTTCGGTGTAACGTGATAGATCCAATGTCGGATGTGGTTCCAATTTGAAATGTGTATCGTTTTCTAAGAGTGGCGTTAGAAAATCTAAACTAAATATTTCCGTATAAATGAGACCGGCTAAACCGGGCCAATCGTTAACGGTTAGGCCCTTAAAATGGGGAAAAAGAAAAATAATAAGTCTTGAGAAATTTTTGCAGGTCAAAAGTTCGTTCTTACCTTATTATCCCAAAACTCCTCTTCACTAATGGATAATCTAGCTATAATATGAGACGGATAGTATTTCTCCAAGATATGGGCGGCAAGTTGTATGGCAATCTAAAGGAGAAAAAAGAGGAAGAAGAGGAAAAGAAAAATGAAAATTAGTAAATATACAGACAATATAATGTGGGTCCTTATAGACCACATAAAAGCCAAGAATCTTCGTATTCACATTTATTCACAAACTGAAAGCCGAGTTGTTAAAAAATACGAGGGCTCAAAATATTTAAAGGCGAGTTGAAGGACACCAAGTTTTAAAAGACACATTGGAAGTCAGAATGGGTCTATATTTGAGCTGAAGGTAGAGTTTTTTAGGCGATTTAGGATATGAATAGAGCCTGGAGGGATTCATTATAGGCGGGCTGAAGGAAGTATTTATAGACGAGCTAAAGACAGCTGAAGGGAGTCTTTACAGACGATCTGTTGTAAGTCTTTACAGACGATCTGATGGGAGTCTTTATAGACGAGCTGAAGGGAGTCTTTGTAGACGAGCTGTGAAGGGAGTCTTTATAGACGAGCGGTGAAGGGAGTCTTTATAGACGAGCGGTGAAGGGAGTCTTTATAGACGAGCGGTGAAGGGAGTCTTTATACACGAGCTGTGAAGGGAGTCTTTATAGACGAGCTGCGAAGGGAGTCTTTATAGACGAGCTGCGAAAGGAGTCTTTATAGATGAGATGGTGGGAGTCTTTATAGACGAGCTGAAGGGAGTCTTTAAAGACGAGCTGAAGGAATTCTTTAAATACGATTTGAAAGGAGTCTTTATAGGCGAGACGAGATGAGAGGAGACTTAATAGACGAGATAATGGGTTTCTTTATGATTGAACTGAAGGTCAAGGAGTCAGGAAGACCTTATATACGAACTAAAGTCGTGAAAGTTCAGGCTTTTCAGATAAGTTCACGGCGAGAAATTATACGAATAAGAATGGCTTTATATGGTACATATTTCAGAAGATTTGGAATATTGAATATGGCCTTCGTCTGACGATGAAATTTATTATTCTTCGAAGACCTTCTGTTGATATAATAAGAACATTTACTATGATGCTCAATAGCAAAATGTGTTTCAATATTTAAAAGAAGCGATTAAGCGATCAATCTAGCCAAATAAAGCTGCTGTTGAACTACAATTGTTATTCCAAACAAATTTGCAAGCAAATCAAATTCCATGTCCTACCTTTAATTCCTTTGTGGTTAATTTAATACGCGATTTCACCTGAGACGTTAAATTTGTCTGTAGTTCACGGCGACGTTTCACCAACTTTTCATGTAGCGTTGCGGTCAAATCCTGAGCCTCACGATCCAATGCCAAATAGGGTCCAGTTTTTGAAAGTTGCGCCGAGAATGGGCCAAAACATGCTTCAACAAATTGTGAGAAATCTTTTTGTGGCGTCAAAATAATCCTCTCCATGGCATGTTGATATGCTTGCAACTCATCCAATTCCATTTTTGCTTCAAAGGCTGCCAATGCCTGTTCGGGGCGGATAACAAAGTAGTAATCTAATGCCAAGCCGGGACCAGCAATACGTTTCACTACTAAACTATCCGAAGCTGGAATACGGCCACATTTCTTAATGAACAAATGGAAAGTAAGGGAATCCCAGAACAGGCGCAGCGAATAGCGTATAACACCGACTGAAAAGAAGAATATTTTATTATTTTTTGTATATATTATATTGAGTTTAGTTTGATGCTCACCTATTAGTATTATACCCGATACCAGGGGACACACAACACTGGCCACAAACACCGCCACAATCGGTTGTATACAACCCTGTATTAGGATATTCCATATCAGTGCCTCCAGCAGTATGCAATAACGATTACGAGTATTATCCGGTGAATCGAGATCATAAATTAATATCATATAGATGTGCAGCAGTATAGTGAAAACGGGTATCCATAATGGGGCAGTTAAGGCAAGTAGAATACTTAAGAAACTCGTGGCCAAACAGAGAAGTGGAAAGGCGAACAATATAACCACCGTCCCGAGAAATCCTTTCACGAAATAATTCCAAACACGATTTAGGTTGCGTGTAAACCCTTTGCCAATAAAGCCTGGAAAGAAGACGGATGAAAAAAATATTAGCAATGAGAAGAAGAAGAAAAAATGACTAAGGTTGAATATAAATTAAAACAAACTGCAATAACCCTCAAAGCAGTATTAAGAGTAGCGGTAGATGGAGTTCTTATAAAAGAGCTGACAGATGTCCTCGAAGACGTCCAGAATGGAGTATGTATATACGACCTGAAAGTGAGGTAGTCTGTTTAGAATCGATGAAGACCAGGGTGTCGGTATAAAGTAACCCTCTCGCTCATGAAGACTCCATGACCTTCGGCTTGCTTATAAAGACCTCCTGACGTTCATTTCGTGTATAAAAACTTCCTGATGTTCAATTCGTCTATAAAGACTCCCTACACTTCAACTAGACTAAAATGACTCTCTGACCTTCAGCTCATCTAAAAAGATCTGTAAAAACTTCCTGGACTTTAGATTGTCTATAAAGATTCCCTGAAGGCTACCTAACCTTCAGCTCGCTCGTTCATGACCTTCAGGTCGTCTTAAAAGTCTCCCGGACCTTAAAGCACATTTGTATAGGTTCAGGCCGTCTATAAAGGCTCCCTTAAGGTCGCCAGTAAAGGTTTTCTTCATTTCATCTATAGAGGCTCCCTACAATTTATCTATAAAAACCTCCTCAAGCTTGCCTGTAAAAACTCCTTCAGCTCGCCTATAAAGGCTCCCTTTAGCCCGCCTATAATGGCACCCTTTAGCTCGCCTATAATGGCTCCCCCCTTAAGCTCGCCTATAAAGGGCCCTTTAGCTCGCCGATAGAGACTCCCGCTTGTCTAGAAAGACTCACTGCCGTTCATTTATAAAGACCGTTCTTATATAAAGACTCCTCTCCGATAAATACACCCTTCCGCTCTCCGATAAAGACACCCTTCCGTTTTTCGATAAAGACAGCCTGCCACTCGACTACAAAGACTCCCTTCATCTTATAAAGGTTCACTTCAGCTCGGTAATAAAGGCCTCCCTTAGCTGCCTATAATGACTCCATAAAACAGCGGAAGGCTGTTCATCTCGTCTTTAAAGTATTTAAAGGTTCCTTCCGCTATTTATAAAACTTTCTTTCGCTGTTTATAAACTCTTCTTCTCCATTTTAGCTCCTCTTAAAATTTTCTTTATATTTTTTTCCAAAAATATTCAAAAAATGTCCACCTACCCGTATCCGGTTCCGTTTCGAAATGTGTTCTCGACTTTGATATGTGACGCCATAATTCGATTAACCTTGAAGCCATAGTCTGTGTTATGCTTGTCTTGCGCGGAAATAGAGTTCCATTTATTTGCGATAGTTCTAAATCAGGCATGAAAGGCTTAACACAGAATAGGGCTCTCAGACTCAGGGGGCTACACCAGGGCACCAGGATGCCCAGCAAAAACATCATATTCCATGTCCAACACCAAGTTCGTTGCATTAGATTCAATAGACGCCAAAATGGCCATCGAGTACTGGTTGTCCGTATGATTTCCTTTTCCACTAAAAATACCGGTTGCGAGGGATCTGAACGGGGTGTTACAATCGATGTGGCCTGTTGACTTATTACCGTCGGTATTATATCTGATTGTCCTTGAAAATTCCTCTTGATTATCCATGACTTTGGTGACCATATGCGGCAGGCCCATTGAAAGCTACGCGTTGGAGTTTTGGCATTTTTCAACTCCTTAAGGAGAACCGGTTCGCGTTCCTTCATAAAGGCCAAATCACGACTTAGGAAATAGGCGGTTTGATGGAGATTTTGTTTGGTACACATTTTCAGTGCCTCCTCATGTGCCGACCAGGCAGATTTCGAAAGTTTTGATTGCTCAGCGTGACGCAGTTTGGCCCTTAACCATGGTGCAACTCTTGAGAGTACGGCATGATCATTGGCCAAACATTTTTCGTGATCTTCACGTGAGCGTTTGATGTCATTTTGTACCTTCTCCACGGCCTTATACATGATGACCACTGCCTGGGCCTGTTGTACCAATAGTTCGGGTATGCCATGACCCAACTCTGCCAATTTGGGATTATTCATTATCGAAGTGTAGACCCTTTGGAGATATTCTTTCATAACAGCCTCGTTGACTTCCTCTTCGATTTCCTTGTCGGTCAATTTTTTATCTCTTAATTCGCCTATCAAACGTTCACGGAAATGTAGAAACCAACCACGGGTTTCACGTTCCAGAATGCCAATTAAAATGGGCAATGCCTTGCGCATGATATCGCGACAAAAGAGACGTAAATCAATTTCTTGTCCTTTCGGCGTGAGGAATAGATATGGCACTGGCTGTGAACTTTCACAGCTATTGAAATCGAATTTCTCCATGGTGGCGCGGCGTAACATTTTGCGGACATACGAACACAGACCGTCCAAGCAATCTTCGAATTCGGGCTGCCAAAAGAGAAAAAAAAAGAGAAAATATTACATTTCAAAGAAAGAAAGGGGGAGGAATATCCTGCTTACCCTACACACAAGTTCGGCAATTAAAAATCGACACCTCTCCTCCTTGATTTTATAGTCCAAATTATGGGCCAACAACGCCGGCACTCCAATGAACATATCAACCAATTTGATGAGACCACGCAGCAGAGCGTGGATTGCGTGATAAACGGAGAAGAAATGTGAAAATATTCGTCCACGAGCGGTGATTACCAAAAATCTTGCTGCCAAAGCTAAATCGCTTAGAAAGGAATCATGGGCCCGCAATGTTCCCTTTTGCAGCAGTTGTGACAAACGCCACTTGTGAACCTGACCCGGAAAGTGTAGACTAGGCACATTAAATTCTCTGTGGGGAAGGGGGAAACAAATACAAATTAGTTTTGATAAATTTAAAGAGAGAGAGGACGGAGAAAAGAGTCTTTAAATATGAGAGTAAAATTTAACTAACATGCATTTGGGATTTTAAAGCTCGGCTAGGCTACTCAAGCATAATATTTTTGCCGGAATTTTTTTTATTAATATTTAAGCAATAAATTTTCAACAAATTGAAAAAAAATTTAAATTGAAAACACAAATAATGTCCACATGAAATTACAATGAAAGATAGGGAGAGAATAAAGTGTTTTTTTATTTTTGGTTTTTGGGGGGCGGTGGTTGGGTATGATATGTTAGTTTATTGGTTGCCACTAGTTGTTAATTAGGGGTCCACGGAAGCTTGAGTTTCTTTGGGAAAAATTACAAATTGATTGCAATAAGGACTTCGAAGTTGTATGTTAGAAAAACACAAACAAACTGGAGATAGTTTTCAGAAACGACAAGAAGTCAGTCTTTAGAGACTATCAGGAGAGATACTTTAGTAGTGAGTCTTCAGAAAAGATCTATAAATACGTCTTGCTTCTAAAAAAGACTGTCTTCAACTTGTCTATGAATATTCCCTCAAATTCGTATCTAAAAATACTCCATTTCGGCTCGTCAAAAATAGGTTCACTTCATTTCGTCAATAAAAACTCCCTTCAGCTCCTCTAGACTGAGCCTGTGGCGGGCATGTAGGTTTCTGAACTGAAGCATCGTCTTCGAAATTAATTTCGACTGCAATATCTTAAGTCCGAAGCCTTTATTTGATAAGAACTTATACCAAAGAAACTCAACTCCCCTGATTATTGTTTTATTAATGTTTTTTTATTTTATTTTTATTTATAAATAATTAATAGGACTATTTTGTTTGGGGTTAGTATGTTGTGATTTGTTTTTAGTTAATTGTATTAGTTGATAGTAGTAGTACAAATTGTATAAGACAACACATATATAAACAAATAGACAATTATAAATTTACACATAATCTAACATACAAAAGGATAAAATATTTTTGGCATGCAATTTTTTTCGGAATTTGATTTATAAAACAAAAAAAAAATTTATTAATATAGACAATACTTCCAATGAATTTTTGAACTGAAAAATTCCTAATAGAATTCTTACATCATTATGGATACATAATCTTGATTGGCGTAAATCGATTTTCATAAGTAAATACACCGAAGCCGATCTTAAATTCGAAAATTTCTATTGTACCTCACTCACGGATATCCCTATAAGAAATTTCCAGTGTTTTTTAAATCTTTACACTGTTTTAGTCATTCCAACGATGCGATGAGCGAATATGGATGTGGACCACTACCTTGCAGCAGCCAATGTTCGCACTCGTCTTAATGTAGCAGCAAATGTGCCATCAACATGGAAACTCGACGCCAACACCGCTCAAATTACCCACCTGCTTGATGAATGCTTTTCTTGTCCTGATAATAATATAGAAGCACAATGGCAAAGAATTGCCTACTCTCGAGGGAGAACTATCAGGAGAAAAGGAGAAACGTATTTTCAGAAGAAAAAGAAGGAAGAACCAGAAAAACGTAAACGGGAGCAATTAGAAATATAAAGTAGTCGTGTGTGCAGGCACATACTCCCGTAGAGATGAAGATGAAAATCTGGCGAACAGTTACAGATAGCGTGTGGAGGATCTGGAAGGAACATTTTGAAAAACTTTTGGTATCAAATAGTGGCGGTGAAGAAGATACTCCAGAACGTATAAGATATGATGGTATAGATTGTATACCATTGTATTGATTGTATACCAATATGAGGTCAAAATAGTAATCAATCGGCTGAAGAATAATAAAGCAGTAAGTGCCGATGCGTTACCAGCCGAACTATTTAAGATCGAAGCTGGTCAGTAGCATTCACCAGTTGATTAGAACAATTTGGCTAGAGGAATGTATGTATGCCCAATGATTGGAACACACAGGATGCAGAGCTGTGACCGGTGCACAAAAAAGGAGACAAAACAATATGTGTCACTTATAGAGAAATAAGTCTCCTTCCCATTGAATATAGAGTGTTATCCAGCATGATGTGCTAAACGAATGAAGCCTATGGTCAATGATATATTGGACCATACCAATGTGGCTTCAGGCCTGGCAAATCTACCATTGACCGGATTTTCACTCTGCACTAAATCCTTGAAAAGACCCATGAAATTCACATCGACACATTCCACATATTCGTCGACTATAAAGCTGCATTCGACAGGCCTAACCGTTCAGAGGTATTTAAAGCCATGTCGGCGTTCGGTATTCCTGCAAAATTAATACGGTTATGCAAGATAACTTCAATTGGCACAAGGTCAGCACTTAAAGTCGGAAAGGACCTCTCGAAATCCTTTAATACCGAACGAGGAATCAGACAAGGTGACAGTTTGTCGTGTGATCGTTTTAACATTCAGCTGGAAAAGGTCATACGAGATGCAAAGGTGATCAGAATGGAACTCTGTACATTGTAAACAACACATGTTACTCGCCTACGTCGATGACATCGATATAATGAGTTGAACAAATTGAGAAGGAGTCAAATTGAGAGTAAATGGCGAGAAGACGAAGCTGATGGTATCAACGTGCAAGACGTCCAGTAGACTCAGACCAACTGTGGAACTTTTGAACTACAGCTTCGAGGTAGTGAACGAGTTTATATAACATGTTACCGCCATAAATAATACAAATGACATCAGTTTTGAAATTCGGATTAAGTAAGCAATTTAGAAACAAGGCCAGCTCTCGCCAGACCAAACTCACAATCTATAAAACGCGGATACTACCCGTGCTCAGAAGCATGTGTACTTGCGCAAGCAGATGAGGCAGCTCTTGGAGTGTTTGAGAGAAAAATTCTCCGAAAGATCTATAGGCTGATCTGTGAATATCGCCGTCGAATGAACCATAAGTTGTACCATCTTTTCTCGGACATCCACATAGTCAGACGTATCGAACTGCAGCGACTACGTTGACTAGGTCATGTTGTGAGAATTGGATTGGAGAATGCCACAGCTCAAAAGGCACATGAAAGCGATACAACTGATAGTTCACTTAGAGGGGAAAGGCCACGAATTCCAGGCATAGATCAAAAGGAAGACAACATTTCGGAACATGGAAGAGTTGCGCATAAGACCTACGCGCCTGGAAATTTATTTTTTTTTTTAAACTGGGCTTATAGAACGAATGTTCGTCACAAGCCAGCTAAATATGTATGTAAAATCTTCACACTTTGTGGGTAAGGTACCCCCAAAGAAGTGCTCTCATATAATCTATATTTAAATGTGATATAGGTTTAGTAAAAGTACTATTTGTTAAATTTTGACAATTTTTTGATGGACTTGACTTGATAGTCTTCTTTAAGTTTGGAACAAATCGGAATCTCCTTTGAGAGTTACCGTAAGACACAGGCAAATTTTTTGAATCGAATTTGTTCAAAAGGCTCTTGCTGTCGAAAACCGGTATTTTGTATTACACTTGTGGGTTTAAACATTTTACTAAGTAATTTAAGAAATCAATTTACAGCCAGCCAATTAAATTGGAAACAATATAATCTAAGCAGGGTACGCAAAAATTCGTTCGCGAATGAATTAAAATACATTCTTTTCGTTTTGTGCTCATTTTACGAAAGAATTTATGGCGATAAATACTTTACCAAACGAGCATTAGCCAAAGAATATTCGCAAGCACATAACAAACGAGTGAGAGCACACAACAACGATCGTTCGTTTCGTTTGGTGGTTGAAATTCTTTCTGACATTATCTCACGAATGAAAACAAACATTCCCGAATTAGTTTATGATATTTTTGTTTGTTGTTGTTTTTAACAGTGCTCGCGAATATTTGTTTTTTTTTTTTTTTTGAGTTTTTCAAAAGATCAATTCTTCAGCATCAAATGCTCGCGAACGAATCGATGACGCTTACAGCGAAAACATTCGAATTCTCGCCGTGATCATTCGTGAGAAAGAGCTTATTTTAATCATTCATCGCACCCTGAATCTAAGTGAGGTACCACTATCAATTACCCATTCATATATGAAAAATATTGATTCAAAATTAGAAATTAGTTTGATTAGAATTTTACGCAATTAGAGTCTAAGTAAAGATAAAATAATTTTAAACTGGATAGATCAATTACTTGAGCGCTATCCGACATGTTATTTTCGACATTTGAATAAAAAATAGATAATTTTACATGTTTCGCCCAGTATTCCCACACATATAATTAATACATTTACTACCTAATAATTTATAACAATAACATATATATATATATATATATATATATATATAAAACAAACAATTATCTGACTAATAATTTTTGTATATATGTAATAAACGAAAAAAAAAACTAAAACACAATTAAACACTTAAAAAGAATTACATAAAATTATATTATATGTTAAAAACATTTATGTATGGGGGAGATATATTAAACATTTCTGTTTTAATTTTAGTTTTCTGTTTGTGTTATATATATGGTTTAATAAAAATATATGTTTTTATTTAAAATTAAGAAAAAAAAAAAGAAAACTATTTTTTTATTTGATTAGTTTGTTAATTGTATTTACCCATTTTTACGTATGGTTTCCAATTGTTCCAAAGTTAATTTCTTGGGTTTTCCATATTTGTCCTTTTGTAAGCTATTTGTTTGGTTTGTTAATTGATTTGGATTTAATTTTTTGTGGTTTCAGTTTCAGTTTCGGTATTCGTATTTTTTGTTTTGGTTTTTGTTTTGTGATATTAAATTTTTGTTGTTGTTTGTTAATGTAAAATTAGGAACATAAACAATATACGGATTGATTGTAAGTAATAGTAGTAGTTGTTGTGTTTGTGAATTTTTTTGATATATAAAAAAGAGAATATGATTTACGATATATTGATATTTTATATAATTTATTTTTTTCAGTTCAGTATTGTTTGAAAGTAAAGATGATAATGAGGATGATGATAATGATGTTTTTTTTTGATAAGTAGGTGGGTGATGATGAATGGTGAGATGAGGTGAAATGAGGTGAGATTAAGTGAAAGTGAGTTGGTACCATGGTTAATGTATGTGTGGTGATGATGATGTGAGGTGAGTTTTAAGACACATGCAAATTAGATGAAGCATTAAAAAACTAAAAATTAATTATTTTAGCAGAAAAACAAAATTAATTAATAAATTAAATCAAAATAAAAATATTTTTTATTCTAAAAATAGATGGGCGTTTTAAAAGCTTAAGTTGGAACCTTGCTGATGAGCTAGCACAAATAGTTTAAAAAAATCTTTTTTAATGTATGTGAAAATAAATTGATAAGTACATGGAAAAACTGTATAACAATAGTTCCACGGCAGAACCAGCAAGAATCTAAGTTTACAAACATACATAACTGGAGTGGCAGCCGCTGGCCGAGATGAATGGGGCAATCGGAAGCTTATTTTACACAATATGCTGAGATGACCGACGTTGGCCGAGTAAGATTCGGGTCGTTTCGGATCGTAGACCCCTCTGTCGTGGAACCGATTGGTTTTTTATTGGAGGGCAATAACCGTCTGGTGCTAAGGAATTTCAATGTCCACCATGAGTTATGTCATTCCGTCCTAGGTAATGACCAGAAAGGAACAGTGCTGGTAGAGCAAATTGATAGCTCCACGTTCTGTATGGTAAATGAGGATGCCCCCAACAGAATAAGGGGAGAGTGTCACAGTTCGCCAAACATAGGCATTGTGTCACCAGGTCTGATAAATGACCTCAACTGGCAGCCCGTAATTTCTCATGACTCAGTCCACCTCCCCATAATCGTCTATATTAGCAGACCGCCTGATTTCATCATCTCTTAACGCCGCACTTTCCTCAACCATAGGAAATCCAACTGGCAAGGATTCAGAGAGTTCACCAGCCAGCGTTTCAGAGAACTGTCCATTCCTTCTGATGTACGGATAGCAGAAAGGAAATTCCGAAGCATCATTACAGCTGCAGCTGCTAGATTTATAGCTTCTGGTCGAATATCCGAAATGAAACCTGTTTTCCCAGCAGAAACAGTTGGTCTAACAAATGAGCATGATGAGCTCCGTCGATCTAACCCAGCAGATCCTATGGCCAGGGAACTTACGTTGGAGGTCAGCAGATTAGTCGCGGAGCATAGGAGCAATAAATGGTTGGAGCACCTGAAGAATTGCAACATTGGTATCGGAGTAAGTAAACAGTGAGCAACGGTTAAGTCGCAATCAAACCCTGGTAAGAAGGATGATAGGACCTCAGTTACATTTAAAGACGAAACTGTGACTGATATCGCCATATAATAATACCATGAGTTGTACCAGCTATTCACGGACATCGACATTGTTAGACGTATTGAGCTGCAGCGACTATGTTGGCTAGGTCATGTTGTGAGAATGGATGAAGATGACCCAGCCCAGAAGGCATATAAAAGCGAAACAGCTGATGGTTCACACAGAAGGAGAAGGTCACGAATACGATGGAAAAATCAAGTGGAAGACAACATTGCCGAAAATGGTCTTTCAAATTGGAAAAAACTGCGCAAAAGACCGACGCGCCTGGAAATGTTTTTTAAGCTCGCCTTATGGAATAAAAGTTCTGTCACAAGCCAGATAAGTAAGTAACTGTGACTGACCCGAAGAGATGCGCGAGTTATTTCAACCGACAGCTTGTCGAGCATCCCGAGAACGACAGGGCTAAGAGAAGAGTACTTCGTTGTATAAGATCTCTTCCAGCCGAGGAGGTACCACCCCAGTTCACGATGGATGGTGTTGCATATGGCATCCGTAACGCGAAGTCATCCAAAGCGTTGAGCCCTGACGGAATATCCATGTATACGCTGAAGCAGTTGGAAAAGCGAGGAGTCGAGTACTTGACCAACGTCCTTAACTTGTCAATAGCCAGCCACGTCGGTCCCTAAGCCTGGACAATGGCAAGGATGCCAGCAAAGGTGAATCTTACACGCCGATATCACTTTTGTCGCCAGTAGCTAAGACACTTGAGGCATCACTCCTCCCCAGAATTAGAGAAAGCGATCCTGTTGTGAATCATCAACATAGATTCCGTAATCAACACAGTACAACAACAGCGTTGCACGCCATCTCCACACATATAAGTGGAGAACTTAACCAGTACCGGCCGTGCTATAGAAAAGTGTTGGTAGCGCTTGACCTGTCAAAAGCCTTTGATACTGTCAACCAAGCCACACTATTTGAGGACGTCGAGATCACTTCCCTCCGGTCGAGTTTAAAACGTTGGATAATCAACTATATGTGTGGACGCCAGTCGTACATGGAGTTCCGGAACAAGACATCCAAGCAACGTAGAGTTAAACAGGGCGTTCCCCCGGGTGGAGTGATTTCTCGGGAACTGTTTAACCTCTACCTTCACGGTATTACACGCCCTCCGGACGGCATAGAAATCGTCACATATGCAGATTATTGTACTATCATGGCGTCGGGTCCCATTATTGAGGATATATGTGTGATCCTTCCCTTACGTCAGCGTAGCAATATGCTTTCGTTGCAGTACCAGCTCGGGTGACTCAGGGACAATCTTTCCAACCATCATATGGTGTATGAGACTCCACCACCAGGCGTATCAGAAAGGATCAGCATGACCGGATACAGAATGAATGCCGTCCTCGGAGCTCACCCACCACCCATAGCCGCTGAAGAACCAATTACGTTCAGGCTGATGCAGTCGTTTTAATTCGTATTGGGCACGGATTAATGACCAGATGCAGAATGTCTGCCCAGCATGTGGTACTGGCCCGCATACCACTCTGCACTTATACAATTGCCCAGCGAAATCTACTCGTTTTACTCCTGAAGATCTGTGGGTTGCAGCCAGTGGAAGTAGCTGTATTTCTTAACTTGGAGACTGAACCAGATTGAAACTATATTCATATAAACTACTACAACAACAACAACTAATTTTACAAATGGATTGGGTAGTTCTCTAAAGCGACAATTCGTGAAATCTCTGAAACCTTTCCAATTGGCTTTCGAATGGTTAAAGAAAATAAGATGTTCAGAGGTTATGAGTTCGGGTGGTCTGTTTATGGATAGGATAGAAATGGTGGTGGGTACATCCTCATTTACAGTGTATTGAAATGCTAAAAACCAAGATGAAAATTATTGGTGATTATGGACTTCCTGCTTCGGATCGTAGACCCCACTGTCGTGAAATCCACTATATGCTTTGGTGATAGAATTTGTACAAAGGTCTTGGTGGTTTCGTATAATTGGAGATTCATCAAGGTGTTCTAAACACACTCTTAATTTCCTAACCATTCCATGGTTTAATTCTGTTTCAGGTAATTAATAAAATAGGGCCTGCCTTATACAAAGGATTTTGACTATTTTAATTTCCCACCTTTAGGTGTCTGTGCTCGAATTTATTTAGGCACACACATTTATTTTCACATACAATTTAAGACTTGAAGGTAGCTGTATAATAGATATAATTTTTCAATCTTGGATCCTTAAATGGGTATTTCAATGTTTTTTTTAATTTAAATTTATATTATTTGTTAATTTTATACTTTATTTTTATTATTTAAAGACTTTAGCCTTATAAGCAAAAAATTAATAAAAAATTAAAGCGATATAAATTAAAAAACAAAAACAACAACTCAAAAGAAGTGGCATAGTTTAAGGATGACAATTTTTGTAAATTAAATTTTCCACTCTTACCCATTTTCACGCAATGATTTCAATTGGGAATTGGTGAGGCGACGTGGTTCACCCGTACCATCTGTGGCTACGGCATCCAATTCATCGAACGGCGGTGCTATAAATAGATCACGTAAATTGATGGGACGGGTTTTGCGATTACCCACAGTGTTTGAGCCATTATTGCCACCCGAGCCGCCTAAAGTTAAGGCAGCGGCCGATAATGGTTGGGGAAGAACTACAAAAAACAACAATTATTTTCCCATTAACAAAATTTATAAAATTAATTTTCAAAATATATTTACCAATTGGAAATGTTTTCCAGTGATACAAAAATTGTTCGGCAACCGTTTTTATTTGCTGTACCAATTGTTCAACTTCAGCTGGTGCTCCCACAAGATTAACGGTAAATTGTACAGGTTCACGTTCTGGTCCAGCCAGTGTTAATGGACGCAGCTGTTGGGCCGATGTACTATTGCTCATAGGCATTTTCTTGTTGTTTCGTTCGTGTCTCAATTGTGTTCCAATACTTTATGACTATTTTTCGTATTTTTAACCAATTTCTTTGTTATCCGAACAACCCAATTGCCTGTTTTGGTGTTCTTCTACTTCTTTTCACATAGGGTTTGCCATGATTTTTTGTTTTTTTGGGGTTTGCTTTCTCTTTGGAAATTTGGCTTTCAAGCTATTCAAATCTGTAATGAAAGAAAGAGTAACATTAATATTAATTTTATAGAACCCTAAACCTTTACGGTTGCGGCTACAACGAGTGACAAGTTCCCCTGGTCCCCCAAAGTAGTAACAAGATTTAGGTCAACTCCTAGGGGAGTTGCCAATCTCCTACTAGGCGCGTCTTCCCGGGTGGCGAATTGGAAGGGGGTCTCCATGATGTGCAGAGTGAAACTGACCTAGGTCATCTAGGTCAACTTTTCTCTGCACTCCGTGTAATGGAAAAATAGCTCCAACTTAGCATTATAATAAGTTGATGTTTCGGAGGAAAAAAGCTACTCGGTAGATGAATCAGGACGAATAAACCTCGCTGCCGTCTTTAGTACACAAAGTTGGAAATTTGTTACTTCTGAAGATATGTCGACCTAAATCCAAATTAAATTAGAGAGAAAAATTAGATTGTAGGCGACCTGAGAATCTTGGCTGGGTGGCTCACTAAGAACTAGAACCGTGTGTCCCCTCATGATACCAGGACAATCTTCATCGGCTGAACCAAATTTTGTCGATGAATACCTGATTGATTATTTTTGTCAACAACAGGTTTCCACCGTCCAGGCACACAGTTGAGATCTTCATAATCTATAGGGAGAAGTCCTAAGGTACAAGCGTGAACTGTACCAGATCCATAGGCAGTGGACCAATATTGGTTGGCACCCTGTCGCAGTTCTCAGTGCGGCATTCTGACAGGTCTGAATACTTTTCCTTTGCTTATCACTAGTATTCGCATACCACACTGGAACCGCTTAGCCTGCCACAGACCGACCGATCGCTTTGTAAGAGGTCAACACAGATTCCTTATCTGCGCCCAAAGTGCTGCCGACAAGCGACTTGAGTACCTTGTTCCTACTTTTCAGCCTATCGCAGATAGCTGTGGTTTGCATGGACGATTTAAACATACTGTCGAATGTGACCCCGAGTATGTATTTAGGGGGTAGTTGGTGGTCGGAATTGTATACCCTTGGCCTGCACATTCATTCTCATCTCCGCAGTCCATGTAGTGAATAATGTGGCTGACGACTTCGTGGTGGATATTTTCATATTTCTCGCTTTAAAGAAGGCTGCTAATTCGACGAGATAGTCGTTTAACCTCACACATATGCCCTCAACAATGGGACCCAACGCCATAATCATACAATCATCTGCATATGTAACGATTTCTATGCCGTCCGGAGGGCGTGGAATACTGGAAAGGTCGAGTTTAAACAGTTCCGGAGAAATCATTCCACCCTGGGGAACTCCCTGTTTAACTCTACGTTGTTTGGAATTCTTGTTCCCGAACTGCACGTACGATTGGCGTCCACACATATAGTTGATTATCCAACGTTTCAAACTCGGCCGTAGGGAAGTGCTCTCAATGTCCTCAAATAGCGTGGCATGGTTGACAGTATCAAAGACTTTTGATAGGTCAAGCGCTACCAATACTGTCATATCGCACGGCCGGTTCTGGTTAAGTCCTCGACTTATATGTGTGGAGATGGCGTGCAACGCTGTTGTTGTACTGTGTTGCTTACGGAATCCATGTTGATGATCCACAACTGGATAGCTTTCTCTAATGCTGGGGAGGAGTAATGCCTCAAGGGCCTTCGCTACTGGCACTCTGTAGCAGTCATCAGGTCAGAATACTTCTCCATTGGGTATCGCTAGTGTTCGCTGGCCACACTGGAAACGCTTAGCTTGCCACAAACCGATTTATCGTTTTGTAAGAGGTCAGTCAACAAGGTTTTCTTATCTGCGCACCAAGTACTGCCGGCAAGCGACTTGAGGACCTTGTTCCTACTTTTCAACTTATCGCAGATAGCTGTGATTTTCGCGGACGATTTAAACATACTCTCGAATGTGACCCCGAGTATTTTGGGGGTCGGAATTGTAAGCCCCTCGGTCTGCACATTCAACAGCATTCTCATCTCCGCAGTCCATGTAGTGAATAATGTGGCTGACGACTTCGTGGTGGATATTTTCATATTTCTCGCTTTAAAGAAGGCTGTTAATTCGACGAGATAGTTGTTTAGCCTCACACATATGTCCTTCTTACTAGGGTTCGAGAGCGACTTAACCGTTTCCCACATTTTACTCACTCCGGTAACGATGTTGCAACTCTTCAGTTGATTCAACCATTTATTTCTCTTGTGCTCCGAGACTAATCTGCAGACCTCCAACGTAAATTCCCTGACCATGGGATCTGCTGGGTTAGATCGACGGAGTTCATCACGCTCATTTGTTAGACCAACTGCTTCTGTAGGGAAATCAGGTCTCGTTTCGGGTATTCGACCAGCAGGTATAAATCTAGCGGCTGCAGCTGTAATGATGCCTCGGAATTTCCTTTCTGCTACCCGTACATCAAAAGTTCTCTGAAGCGCTGGTTGGTGAACTCTCTGAATCCTTGCCAGTTGGCTTTCCTATGGTTAAAGAAAGTGCGGCGTTCAGAGATGACGAAATCGGGCGGTCTGCTAATAGAGACGATTATGGGGAGGTGCTCTGAGCCAAGAGAAATGAGGGGCTGTCAGTTGACGTCATTTATCAGACCTGGTGACACAATGGTTATGTCGAGGGAACTGTGACACTCTCCCATTATTCTGGTGGGGGCATCCTCATTTACCGTGCAGAACGTGGAGCTATCAATTTGCTCTGCCAGCGCTATTCTCCTCTGGTCATTACCTAGGACGGAATGCCACAACTCATGGTGGACATTGAAGTCCCCTTGCACCAGACGTTTTTTGCCCTCTACCTCGGCAGTACCCATACATTCCATGCATGTGTCACTACAGTCAACCTCAAACGAGATAGGCCTGTATTGAACAGATTGGTGCATAATGAATGCTAGGCCTCCACCTCCAACAATTTTCATTGAGCTTGGTTTTCTGCACCGCCGCGACCAAAATATTCTTCCGATTCATGAAGTCCACTATTTCATCTATTTTTCCTCGAAGACCGTTGCAATTAAATTGCAGAAACGATGCACTGTCAGGGGTGGGAACAGCAACGTGTGGTGTTAAGTGCTGCATACTTGGTTGCTGTTGAGGAGACTGCGGTAGAGTTCCGCTGGCCGAGATGAATCGGGTTAATCCGGTATCGTAGAACCCATTGCCGTGGGATTGAGAAGTTATAAAATCGGGTGGTCTGTTTTATGGATATGATAAAAGGGAGATGATCTGACCCCAATGATATGACGGGTTGCACAGCCACGTCATTCGTCAGACATAGAGACACGATGGAAATGTCCGTTGAGCTTTGGCAATCCCACGACGGCCAGTTCTATGCAGCGGAATGACTCGGATGAATCAATTTCCGACCAAGGGTTGTACCCAGCAAGCACAAGTACCATAAGGTTTTGATTCTGATGGCTGTTGTTGCTGACACCCAATCCGAAATTTCATCGGCAACATCTTGTTGTGTGTTGACGCATAGGGAAAGATCTTCCTCTCCTCATGTAAATATGTGTAGCGGGGTTCTTGATCTGTCCGATTGGAGTTATTTTAAATGAAAAATATATTAATTTTTTTCGAATTTAGGTTTTTTACGCAATACACAACTAATTAAGAGATTATACAAATTTCAAAATCAAATCAAATACCATGCCATATTTGAAATTTATTACACTCCAAAAAAATGGCGGGGCAAATTAAACAACCAACACTTCCATAAAAAATTGAATCCAAAAACAAAAACATACTTCTTCTAATTTGTTTATAAATTATTTTCAAACAAATTTCTTAATAAAGTTGTATCCGCAACACCACATAAACAAAAAAAAAAAATAGCACAAGATTTGATGGCTGTTTGGTTGGCTAGGCTGCTGCTAACAAACAAAGGTCAACGATTGTGTTTCTTTTTTCTTCTTTCTTTCTTTTGGGTTCTTCACAAATTAAAACTAAATCAAAATACTAGAAACAAATAAACAAAAAAATTAAAATATTTTATGGATACAGTTGTTAGATTGATATGTTCGCTCACTGTTTGTCGGATTTGTTCGAAACATGAATTCCTCCTTTGACGTTAAACCAAACTAAACCGAACCGAACAATGCTAAAAATACATAGTATATTTTTTGTATGATATCATTTAGGAAAAATAGCGCGCGCAATTATAAATTAATGAAATAATTAACAGAGTTGAGAACAGCAACAGCAAAAACAACGAAACAATGAAATATTTAAAAATTATTCAGAGAGATATTGTTCGGATTGTCTGGAAGCGTGCGAGATGAGAAGAATAGAATTTTTTTACAATAAAAAACATCATACATTCATTCACTCATTCAATTGAAGCATAATTCTGATATCCACACACAATGGAATTTTGGATTTTTTTTCGCAAAAATTCCACATTCCAGAATCGGAAGATAAAGGAGAATATATTAACACAATTGGTATTTTAGGATTTTGTGTTTGAGCTCATCACATATACCCACACATAGTTATACAAACATTTATTGCACGCCATTTCCACACATATAAGTAGAGGACTTAACCAGAACCGACCGTGCGATAGAACAGTGTTGGTAGCGCTTGACCTATCAAAAGCCTTTGATACTGTCAACCATGCCACGCTATTTGAGGACACTGAGAGCACTTTCCTCCGGCCGAGTTTGAAACGTTGGATAATCAACTATATGTGTGGACGCCAGACGTACGTGGAGTTCCGGAACAAGAAGTCCAAACCCCGTAGAATTAAAAAAGGAGTTCCCCAGGGTGGAGTGATTTCTCCGGAACTGTTTAATCTCTACCTTTCTGGTATTCCGCGCCCTCCGGAGGGTATA